CTCTAGCACTGATTGACCTCCTACTGTGTTTCAGGTTCTTTAAAAACACTGATCATCGGATTAGGATACTGGTCTCCCAGATGGGGCTCCCAGGAGAGGGAGAGACTGGGGGTCAGATTTCCCACGAGGCTAAAATCAAATCTTGGTGCTGAAAATAAATGCCCACGAGGGATGTCTGGGCCAAGCAAGGCCTGATGGGTGGCTGAGAGGAACAGGTTTATCTGGATGTCTTTGTATGGGAACTGACTGTTCTAGTAGGAGAGATGGGAAAGGTTTGTATAGAACAAAAGATGGGCGACCTTGCTGTTGGTTCCTTGCCCTCCGCCTATCAGTTGCTTTTGAGCAGCCACACTCTGCCTTTGGTGGTGGTGGTAATAAAGGAATTCCAGTGTGCCTCCTGCCCTGTCCCCTTGTTTCCCTGGACAACCCCACTCTCCCCACACCACACCACTTGCTCCTGCAGCTGGAGATCTAGGTCAGTAAGAGTGGGTGGGTGAGAAAGAACTGAGAAGAGACTCATGCAGACATGACACCCTGCAGGGCAGCAGTGACAACACTTTAACCTGAAAACTGCCTGAAAATAGACTGTGTCTATGACATTATGCAAATCATATGCAAAGTCAAGAAGCCCTATGTCTATTTCTAGCAAACTGAATGTGGCCCTGATGGAAGCATCTCGTTCCAAGAGTCGCCCACCCGGAGTGACAACTGCACAGCTAACATCAGTCCCAGCCCTGGGAGGCTGGACTCAGGTCGACGTGCACCCCTCCACTCCACTCCCAGGGCTGGGTCCTTTAGGCTTGAGGACTTTGCTATCTCGTGGTCTATTAATCTTGATGCAAGTAAGGATATGGAGGCAGAACATCCTCCTTGAAGGCTGATGTGAGGCAGGTGAGGCAGGACGGAGGGAGAATGGTGACTAGGAGGGTACAAAAATCTGTCCTTGAGGCCTGGGTCCCATGGCGGGTGGGGGGGGGTGTTCTTCAACATCAAAGTTCACGCCCCGGGGACCACCTTCACCCCCACTTGGGCATGTTATAGACACTCATCCCTTAGCAAGTGTCCACACAGATGAACCTCTCCCTCTTTGTAGAGGTGAGAAAATTGGAACCTGGGACTCCCGGGAAAGCAGGGCAAAGCTGCAAAGAAATCAATGCATTTTCTTTCTTTCAGAGGCAGGCAGGTTCTGTGAAGCTCCATGTGGAGACAGGGCCCTGGACAGCGTGACCTCCCGAGAACTCTTCTAACCCTGGAAGGCAGTGAGCCAATTCTCCTTTCCCAGATCCCAGCCAGACTTCTTGTAACTCCTTTTCTGCAGTTTTCCTACTGCCCTTCTGCCTGCTTTCCAACCATAGTGTGGACATCAAGTGGGGATGTAAGGACCAGGATCTGGCAGGCACAGGGGGAAGAGAAAGGCTGCCTTTGTGGGGTCCCAGGAATGTCCTCACTTCCCCAAAGCTTGTCTGAGAGGTGTTCTGGCAAAGGCATGCGCTGCTGTTTGGGCTCCACGTACACATGCTCCAGGCACGAGGCCGACTGCAGGGAGTAGGGGAGGACCTCCGTGGTAAAAGGAATTGGGGTACCCTTTCTGTATACTCCAGGCAAGGTGGGGACCCCATTTGAAGAGGGAATTGAGAACAGGGAATTCAGGCAGGCAGGTCCAAGCCGCCTCTGAGTGAGGACACGGAGAGCTCCTTCGAGGTGTGGTTTTCAGGGGACAGTACCTGCAAAACAGTAGCACCGTGGAGCTCACCCACGCGGGCGCCTGGGGGCGAGGAGATGCTCTCCCCCGGGAAAGCCCGCGGTTCCCGCGCAGGGCCACGAGGGCGGCGGCCGCTGGGCGGCTCTTTGGCCAGCAGAGGGCGATGTGGCCGGCACCGAGCAGCCTGCTCCCAGCTCAGGGTCTGAACAGAAATTTGGGGCGCTGAAGGGCCCGGGTCTAAGCAGAGGCCTGAGCGAATTATGAGCTGTCAGCTAAGGGCTAAGCCCAGGCACGATGCCCTGGGGCCTTCTCCTTCCCCATCCCCTCAGGTTCCCTCTGCGACAGGGCCACTGCAGAGGCACTGGCTTAGGGAAACTCAACAGCTCAGGATTCAACCATGGCTTTATTGAGGACCTACTATGTGCTAGGCACGAGCTAAGTGCTCTCACAAAGAGTATCTCCAGGTAAGAGACTGTCATTTTGACCCTGGCCCACCTTTCTGCCCACAGGCAGAAGCATTACACTGCTCACCAGTGCCCCCTCCCTTCCTGGCCACTGGCTGTTCTCCCAACACTGACCCCCTTTTTCTCAACCCTCCCCCTGTCACTACACCTCCTGCCTCAGACCTCACCTCTTAGGGATTTTTTAGGCTTTGGGGAGATGCTGCCTTCAGTGTCTGGCTGTGGAGTCTCAGAAAGAGCCTTTTGGCCCCCAAATTCATTAGAGAGATCTTTCAGGGAAGGACTGATGCCTGGGCTGGGTGGGTTCCAGTGACAAGAAGACATGAAGCAAGATGCCTGGTGATGATCTGAGAACCCAGCAGGCCCATTGAGCTTTCTGTTTTCACCCAGTTTCACTTCCTGGTTCTCCCCCAGGGACCTTGCACAATGCTGGGACACAGGCCTGGGAAAATGCCCTGGAGGCGACGTGGAAGAAGCTGGCCTGAGGGGGTTGTTCTGGGTCATTTACAACAGGAGCCGAGGAGGATGTTTTCTTCACCTCCTGTGAAGAACTGAGGGTTCTTCTCCACTAGCCCCAAGGGCTGAGGGCTGTGAGGTCAGGTCTTCCCAAACTTGGGGTTGTCCTTGTCTCTAGCATGAGCCCCACCCCCACAACCCCTCA